TTAAACAACGCACATCTAAACATCACACATCTAAACATAACACACCTAACTATAACACATCTAAACATAATACATCTAAACATAACACATCTCAACATAACACATCTAAACATAACACATCTATACATAACACATCTAAACATAACACATCTAAACATAACACATCTAAACATAACACATCTAAACAAAACACATCAAAACATAACACATCTAAACAAAACACATCTAAACAAAACACATCAAAACATAACACATCAAAACATAACACATCTAAACATAACACATCTAAACATAACACATCTAAACATAACACATGTAAACATAACACATCTAAACATAACACATGTAAACATAACACATCTAAACATAACACACCTAGACATAACACACCTAAACATAACACATCTAAACATAACACATCTAAACAAAACACATCAAAACATAACACATCTAAACAAAACACATCTAAACAAAACACATCAAAACATAACACATCAAAACATAACACATCTAAACATAACACATCTAAACATAACACATCTAAACATAACACATCTAAACATAACACATCTAAACATAACACATCTAAACATAACACATCTAAACAAAACACATCAAAACATAACACATCTAAACAAAACACATCTAAACAAAACACATCAAAACATAACACATCAAAACATAACACATCTAAACATAACACATCTAAACATAACACATCTAAACATAACACATGTAAACATAACACATCTAAACATAACACATGTAAACATAACACATCTAAACATAACACACCTAGACATAACACACCTAAACATAACACATCTAAACATAACACATCTAAACAAAACACATCAAAACATAACACATCTAAACAAAACACATCTAAACAAAACACATCAAAACATAACACATCAAAACATAACACATCTAAACATAACACATCTAAACATAACACATCTAAACATAACACATCTAAACATAACACATCTAAACATAACACATCTAAACATAACACATCTAAACATAACACATCTAAACATAACACATCTAAACAAAACACATCAAAACATAACACATCTAAACAAAACACATCTAAACAAAACACATCAAAACATAACACATCAAAACATAACACATCTAAACATAACACATCTAAACATAACACATCTAAACATAACACATGTAAACATAACACATCTAAACATAACACATGTAAACATAACACATCTAAACATAACACACCTAGACATAACACACCTAAACATAACACATCTAAACATAACACATCTAAACAAAACACATCAAAACATAACACATCTAAACAAAACACATCTAAACAAAACACATCAAAACATAACACATCAAAACATAACACATCTAAACATAACACATCTAAACATAACACATCTAAACATAACACATCTAAACATAACACATCTAAACATAACACATCTAAACACAACACATCTAAACATCAAGACACGAACTCAGCCAGCAAAACAATATCAACGTAAAAATGTAGCGTACAAATTAACTTGTGAACTAGAGACACTTGTTGAAGGGAAGATGTCTGATGTTTTGACGTGTTGCCTCGAGGGTATTAGCTGGTTCAAATTATCAGGGAGATTTTGTTTTTTTACACAAAACTTGAACTTGTCCCACATAATGGACTAATGTTAGACCATTTGTAAATGTAGTTACAATTTGAAAATGGATGACATCTTCTAAATTTTAGTTTTCGTTTTAAAAAGGATCAGTTAAAATTTAATCCGCGTTTATAACTTGGACAAAGCAACGACACAAATTTAGGATCATCTTCGCCTGACGGAAAGACTAAAACAACTGACCAGCAGACTACTTGAGCTGACCACAAGGCTAACAAGGACTGACCATTAGGCTAACACGGGCTGATCATTAGGCTAACAAGGACTGACCACTAGGCTAACACGGGCTGACCACTAGGCTAACACGGACTGACCATTAGGCTAACACGGACTGACCATTAGGCTAACACGGGCTGACCACTAGGCTAATACGGGCTGACCATTAGGCTAACACGGGCTGACCACTAGGCTAACACGGACTGACCATTAGGCTAACAAGGACTGACCACTAGGCTAACACGGGCTGACCACTAGGCTAACACGGACTGACCATTAGGCTTACACGGGCTGACCACTAGGCTAATACGGGCTGACCATTAGGCTAACACGGGCTGACCACTAGGCTAACACGGACTGACCATTAGGCTAACACGGACTGACCATTAGGCTAGCACGGGCTGACCACTAGGCTAACACGGGCTGACCACTAGGCTAATACGGGCTGACCATTAGGCTAACACGGGCTGACCATTAGGCTAGCAGGGTTTCAGAACTGAGACCAGTGTTGACAATTAAGACAGCTTACCTTTGGGGCGAAGATATTGAGACAGCTTACCTTTGGGGCGAAGATGTTGAGGTAGAGACAGCTTATCTTTGGGGCGAAGATGTTGAGGTAGAGACAGCTTACCTTTGGGGCGAAGATGTTGAGGTAGAGACAGCTTATCTTTGGGGCGAAGATGTTGAGGTAGAGACAGCTTACCTTTGGGGCGAAGATGTAGAGACAGCTTACCTTTGGGGCGAAGATGTTGAGGTAGAGACAGCTTATCTTTGGGGCGAAGATGTTGAGGTAGAGACAGCTTACCTTTGGGGCGAAGATATTGAGACAGCTTACCTTCGGGGCGAAGATGTTGAGGTAGAGACAGCTTACCTTTGGGGCGAAGATGTTGAGGTAGAGACAGCTTACCTTTGGGGCGAAGATGTTGAGGTAGAGACAGCTTACCTTTGGGGCGAAGATGTTGAGGTAGAGACAGCTTACCTTTGGGGCGAAGATATTGAGACAGCTTACCTTTGGGGTGAAGATGTTGAGGTAGAGACAGCTTACCTTTGGGGCGAAGATATTGAGACAGCTTACCTTTGGGGCGAAGATGTTGAGGTAGCTTACCTTTGGGGCGAAGATGTTGAGGTAGAGACAGCTTACCTTTGGGGCGAAGATGTTGAGGTAGAGACAGCTTACCTTTGGGGCGAAGATGTTGAGGTAGAGACAGCTTACCTTTGGGGCGAAGATGTTGAGGTAGAGACAGCTTACCTTTGGGGCGAAGATATTGAGAGAGCTTACCTTTGGGGCGAAGATGTTGAGGTAGAGACAGCTTACCTTTGGGGCGAAGATGTTGAGGTAGAGACAGCTTACCTTTGGGGCGAAGATGTTGAGGTAGAGACAGCTTATCTTTGGGGCGAAGATGTTGAGGTAGAGACAGCTTACCTTTGGGGCGAAGATGTTGAGGTAGAGACAGCTTACCTTTGGGGCGAAGATGTTGAGGTAGGGACAGCTTACCTTTGGGGCGAAGATGTTGAGGTAGAGACAGCTTACCTTTGGAGCGAAGATGTTGAGGTAGGGACAGCTTACCTTTGGGGCGAAGATGTTGAGACAGCTTACCTTTGGAGCAAAGATGTTGAGGTAGAGACAGCTTACCTTTGGGGCGAAGATGTAGAGACAGCTTACCTTTGGAGCGAAGATGTTGAGGTAGGGACAGCTTACCTTTGGGGCGAAGATGTTGAGACAGCTTACCTTTGGAGCGAAGATGTTGAGGTAGAGACAGCTTACCTTTGGGGCGAAGATATTGAGACAGCTTACCTTTGGGGCGAAGATGTTGAGGTAGAGACAGCTTACCTTTGGGGCGAAGATGTAGAGACAGCTTACCTTTGGGGCGAAGATGTAGAGACAGCTTACCTTTGGGGCGAAGATGTTGAGGTAGAGACAGCTTACCTTTGGGGCGAAGATGTTGAGGTAGAGACAGCTTACCTTTGGACCGAAGATGTTGAGGTAGAGACAGCTTACCTTTGGGGCGAAGATGTTGAGGTAGAGACAGCTAACCTTTGGGGCGAAGATGTTGAGACAGCTTACCTTTGGGGCGAAGATGTTATGACAGCTTACCTTTGGGGCGAAGATGTTGAGGTAGAGACAGCTTACCTTTGGGGCGAAGATGTTGAGACAGCTTACCTTTGGGGCGAAGATGTTGAGACAGCTTACCTTTGGGGTGAAGATGTTGAGGTAGAGACAGCTAACCTTTGGGGCGAAGATGTTGAGACAGCTTACCTTTGGGGCGAAGATGTTGAGGTAGAGACAGCTTACCTTTGGGGCGAAGATGTTGAGGTAGAGACAGCTTACCTTTGGGGCGAAGATGTTGAGGTAGAGACAGCTTACCTTTGGGGCGAAGATGTTGAGGTAGAGACAGCTTACCTTTGGGGCGAAGATGTTGAGGTAGGGACAGCTTACCTTTGGGGCGAAGATGTTGAGGTAGAGACAGCTTACCTTTGGGGCGAAGATGTTGAGGTAGAGACAGCTTACCTTTGGAGCGAAGATGTTGAGACAGCTTACCTTTGGGGCGAAGATATTGAGAGAGCTTACCTTTGGGGCGAAGATGTTGAGGTAGAGACAGCTTACCTTTGGAGCGAAGATGTTGAGACAGCTTACCTTTGGGGCGAAGATATTGAGAGAGCTTACCTTTGGGGCGAAGATGTTGAGGTAGAGACAGCTTACCTTTGGGGTGAAGATGTTGAGGTAGAGACAGCTAACCTTTGGGGCGAAGATGTTGAGACAGCTTACCTTTGGGGCGAAGATGTTGAGGTAGAGACAGCTTACCTTTGGGGCGAAGATGTTGAGGTAGAGACAGCTTACCTTTGGGGCGAAGATGTTGAGACAGCTTACCTTTGGGGCGAAGATGTTGAGGTAGAGACAGCTTACCTTTGGGGCGAAGATGTTGAGGTAGAGACAGCTTACCTTTGGGGCGAAGATGTTGAGGTAGGGACAGCTTACCTTTGGGGCGAAGATGTTGAGGTAGAGACAGCTTACCTTTGGGGCGAAGATGTTGAGGTAGAGACAGCTTACCTTTGGGGCGAAGATGTTGAGGTAGAGACAGCTTACCTTTGGGGCGAAGATGTTGAGGTAGAGACAGCTTACCTTTGGGGCGAAGATGTTAAGGTAGAGACAGTCCTCACTCGTCTTGTTGAACTCCGGCACGTGCATCTGGATGTACTCCACGCCCATGCGCGGCTGGGGGCAGGCGGGGGAGAGCTCCTGGGTGGGTCTGATCCCCTGCCATCTCTCTGGCGGGACGGGAGGCTGAAATATTGGTAGACAGATGGTGTCACGTCAGTGGGATATAAGAGTCACGTCAGTAGGCAACGATAGTCACGTCAGTAATAGTCACGTCAGTAGGCAACAATTGTCACGTCAGAAGGCAACGATAGTCACCCTCAAAATAGTCACGTCAGTGGGCAACGATAGTCACGTCAGTAATAGTCACGTCAGTAGGCAACAATTGTCACGTCAGAAGGCAACGATAGTCACCCTCAAAATAGTCACGTCAGTAGGCAACGATAGTCACGTCATTAGGCAACAATGGTCACGTCAGAAGGCAACGATAGTCACCCTCAAAATAGTCTCGTCAGTAGGCAACAATTGTCACGTCAGAAGGCAACGATAGTCACCCTCAAAATAGTCACGTCAGTAGGCAACGATAGTCACGTCATTAGGCAACAATGGTCACGTCATTAGGCAACAATGGTCACGTCAGTAGGCAACAATAGTCACGTCAGTAGGCAACTGGAACGAAACTAATGAAATAAGATGGAAAACCTCGACGCTTCACCAAAAACAGCAAACTCTCTACTAGACGATTGTATCGCAGAAATATGAAGAGATTTTCTCAACAATGGGTATCTTTCGTAGGTGAAGCAGAGCCGACGTGTGTCAGCAGCCGCATTATATGAAGAGATTATGTGTGTCAATAGCCACATTATCTGAAAAGATTAGTGTCATTAGACACTATTTCTGTAGAGATTATGAAGTATATTCTCAATTACTTTAGCGATCAAAACCTAAAACAATTGTCTACCAACCCAACCCAAATCTGTCTACCAACCCAATCTAAACCTGTCAGCCAACCCAGCCTAAACCTGCCTACCAACCCAACCTAAACCTGTCTACCAACCCAACCTAAACCTGCCTACCAACCCAACATAAACCTGCCAGCCAACCCAACCTACACCAGCCTACCAACCCAACCTACACCAGCCTGCCAACCCAACCTAAACCTGTCTGCCAACCCAACCTAAACCTGTCTACCAACCCAACCTAAACCTGTCTGCCAACCCAACATAAGCCTGCCAACCAACCCAACCTACACCAGCCTACCAACCCAACCTACACCAGCCTGCCAACCCAACCTAAACCTGTCTACCAACCCAACCTAAACCTGTCTACCAACCCAACCTACACCAGCCTCCCAACCCAACATAAACCTGCCAGCCAACCCAACCTAAACCTGCCTACCAACCAATAGATGGCCTAGTTCGTCACTTTCGTCACACCCCTGAGTCGACTCAAAATTTGACGAACAACAAAACAAGTTAGCAACGGTTATAAAAAAATTAGGGGACAAGAAGAAATTAAAGCTGAAAAAGTTGATTTAAATAGCGAGAGAAACCGCAAAAGAAAGAAACCACATTGTCATGTAGAATATCAAATAGCGTTCGGCTTAGCGGGATTTCCCGACCTGTAAAAATAGACGTTTGACCGCATACAAGGAACAAGTTTAGGGAAACTCGTTGAGTAGTTGTGGACGGCCAAGATTTTATCCGCCGTCTAAGTTTTGATTTATTGACGGCCAAGTTTTGATTTATTGACGGCCAAGTTTTGATTTATTGAAGGCCAAGATTTGATTTATTGACGGCAAAGTTTTGATTTATTGACGGCCAAGATTTGATTTCTTGACGGCCAAGTTTTGATTTATTGACGGCCAAGGTTCGATTTGTTGACGGCCAAGTTTTGATTTATTGACGGCCAAGTTTTGATTTATTGACGGCCAAGGTTCGATTTGTTGACGGCCAAGATTTGATTTCTTGACGGCCAAGATTTGATTTCTTGACGGCCAAGATTTGATTTGTTGACGGCCAAGTTTTGATTTGTTGACGGCCAAGTTTTGATTTATTGACGGCCAAGGTTCGATTTGTTGACGGCCATGGTTCGATTTGTTGACGGCCAAGTTTTGATTTGTTGACGGCCAAGTTTTGATTTATTGTCGGCCAAGTTTTGATTTGTTGACGGCCAAGGTTCGATTTGTTGACGGCCAAGGCTTAAAGAGAAAGGTGCTACATGTGTGTAAGCCATATTCTCCTCAGATACTGTAGCGGCAGACATTTTGGTTGCTGTACTGGTTTACCCCTAGAAGGCCAAAGTCTGTCCTTTGGACGGCCAAATTCAGACAGATTGACGGCCAGTTGAAACGAGTTGATCTGAACTTAAGAATGTCTGAATGAATTATCTGATCCGTTAATTACCGCCCTGCCCGTCCGCCGCTGACCTCCCTGAACAAATTGTTCTCTGCTCAAATCACAAGCTCCGCCCCCCCCCCCCTCCCTCGCTGGTCAGGTAAGCAGAAAAACATGACCTTTGCCCTCTGATGTAGGGGTGACCGAGCGGGTTTTCTGTAAATTTAGAACGTTAATCACTTAGGGGGGGGGGGGGGGGCGATAGGAGGCTGGTGGGAAATATGAGGATATGGTTTATGGTTGCAGCCACACACATATACACAGCCATACACAGCCACATCCAGCCACATCCAGCCACACACAGCCACACACAGCCACATCCAGCCACACCCAGCCACACACAGCCACATCCAGCCACACCCAGCCACATCCAGCCACATCCAGCCACACACAGCCACACACAGCCACACCCAGCCACACACAGCCACATCCAGCCACACCCAGCCACATCCAGCCACATCCAGCCACACACAGCCACACACAGCCACATCCAGCCACACCCAGCCACACACAGCCACATCCAGCCACACACAGCCACACCCAGCCACACACAGCCACATCCAGCCACACCCAGCCACATCCAGCCACACCCAGCCACATCCAGCCACACACAGCCACACACAGCCATACCCAGCCACACCCAGCCGCACACAGCCACATCCAGCCACACCCAGCCACATCCAGCCACACCCAGCCACACACAGCCACACACAGCCACACACAGCCATACCCAGCCACACCCAGCCGCACACAGCCACATCCAGCCACACCCAGCTATACACAGCCACAAACAGCCACACACAGCCACACACAGCCACACACAGTCACACACATACACACAGCCACACACAGCCACACACAGCGACAAACAGCCACACACAGCCACACACAGCCACACACATATACACAGCCACAAACAGCCACACACATATACACAGCCACACACAGCCACACACATACACACAGCCACAAACAGCCACACACATATACACAGCCACACACAGCCACACACATACACACAGCCACAAACAGCCACACACATATACACAGCCACAAACAGCCACACACAGCCACACACATATACACAGCCACACACAGCCACATCCAGCCACACACATATACACAGCCACACACAGCCACACACAGCCACACACAGCGACACACAGCCACACAGCTACATATTGCAAGACAGCCACCCAGTCATACATAGTCATATCTATAAACTGCCACCCAAGTCACAGCTACAGCCAGCCAAATGATAACAACCACATATTATGGTAGTCTCCACACCACATAAACCACACCTCCTCCACCTCACCACCCCAACCACACCACACCACCACCCACAACCAGAGTTTCTTCCAGGCATCTCTACCGCCCCCCCCCCCCACTGAACGAAATGAAATTTATATAATTTATATAGAAAATATATACTTTTAACAGTGTCCGCCCTCCCCCGAAGAAAGTCTTCCCCCACTCCCCGAAAATTTCAAGTGCCACCCCCCCCCCCCCCGAGAAAAAAGTCTGGAAGAAACACTGCCCACAACTTCATATCACACCCATCTCTTCACACAGAGGAAAAAAAACGAATTGGTAAAATTGTAAAAAAATGGCGAAAGATAAATCAGGTTTAAATTGTTCAGAGTTGAGAGAGCTAAAAACTCGTGAGAAAAATGTAAGCTCGGAGTTTTAGCTGTCCAAAAAAACGTGTTTAATTAATTGCGTAATTAATTTCCAAATTTCTAGCATTCACAGTACATCATATTTGAGGTGACCTATGAAACGTTATGACGTAGTCGATGATCTACTGAATGACGTGATCCACGACTACGGTGTTGCGTGATCAACGACCCAGCGATGACGTGATCAGATACCAGGGAGTGACGTGATCAGTTACCACGGAGTGACGTGATCAGTTACCACGGAGTGACGTGATCAGTTACCACGGAGTGACGTGATCAGTTACCACGGAGTGACGTGATCAGTTACCACGGAGTGACGTGATCAGTTACCACGGAGTGACGTGATCAGTTACCACGGAGTGACGTGATCAGTTACCACGGAGTGACGTGATCAGTTACTACGGAGTGACGTGATCAGTTACCACGGAGTGACGTGATCAGTTACTACGGAGTGACGTGATGTTGTGAACCCTGCCCTACTTCCAGTGGTGACTAATGTCCTATTGCTGTCGACCAGTTCCTTCCCCTGAACATCCTGGACAGGCTCGGATATACGTCACGTGACCAAAGTACTCACGCCACTCAACAATCACTCACACTTAGATCACATGACATCTATCTAGACACATGGCATCTATATAGATACATGACTTCTATGAGGACACTTGACATATATCTAGACACATGACATCTATGAGGACACTTGACATCTATCTAGACATATGACTTCTAAGTAGACACATGACATCTATCTAGACACATGGCATCTACGTAGACACATGACATCTATCTAGACACATGACATATATCTAGATACATGACATCTATGTAGACACAAAACATATCTAGACACATGACATCCATCTAGACACATGGCATCTTTCTAGACACATGACATCTAATTAATTCACATCTGAGTGCTAGGTACGAACATGAGCTGAGCCCAGCTCACCCCCCTTCCCCATTAGTGTGCAGCTAATGAGCTGCACATGGCTTGTCTGAAGTGACCAATTATGCTGGGGCCGCCACCAAAGTCGTCAGGAAACCTTTTGAGCGGCACGAGCTAAGAAAACGGATGTTGAAATGTGACGTCACGCTGTGACGGACG